AGAAACGATTAGCGACAACAGCCACACATGTCATGGCATGCATGGTGCTGCACAACTTGATGACCCCATTCAATCACCCCCGGTTCGATGGCTCAAACGACGCCAACACAAACAACTACTGTCAACCAATACTATCCTAAGAGAGCTTGCCAAACATCGCAGAGACAGAATTGCATGTTCGCTGTATCGTGATTCATGACTATGCTTAATTAAGCTCGATTAATCAATAATTCCAAAAGTCTTTCAATTTGACCAGATTGACGCTGAATCGCCGCAGAGTGAACTTCGAGGGCCGACAAGATCTTTTCTTCATTGTTCAATGGTGTAGCACGTGTTGACGCAACCGCAGTACCCAAAGATTGGAGGCCAGAGCCGACAGCTTCTAGACCCATGAGCAACGAATCCGCACGCGCACTTTTTTGCTTCCCGCGGACCTTCACCTCACTTGGTCTCGTCGAAAAGAGTTTGCGCTCCAATAAAGGAGACTCCTTTACCGTGGGCTCATCACATTCACTCTCCAATGCCGACGGTTATCGTCCATGACAGCGAGCATCGCTGTCATGGACGATATCATTGCCGTCCAACGGCAATACATCAGTGTTTGTATTGCCGTCCAATGCCGGTACATCAGACGACATTAATGTGTCACGAGACAAACCAGGCATACTTCCCCAATACTCAAACGTAATGTCGTAGTACTGAGGCTTGGAACGGACCAAAAGTCCATTGCCTGTCGCTTTGACTTGCGGCTTAAACCACTGCTGCTTGAGGTCATGTATCTTATACGATGTGTAAATATCTTTTCAACAATGACACAATAGCGAAAAAAGAGGTTCTTTTACACAGATTTTGTACCTTGCTTTGAACACTGCGTGCGTCGAAGACACGCTCCATCTCAATCGACAGTTCAGCAGCGAGCAGGTCGTACGCGTCCATTTTCATTTGATTGTTCTTCACACCGTCGAAACGATCGGCCATTGCGATGTACCGGCGACGCAGCATTGCAGAGACAGAGGACACACACTACTTCGTCTTCTGGCGCACACCGGCCGTGCCAGTTGCGTGGCTCGATATCAATGCTCCAACCTCTGTAGCCTGTGGCAGAGCAGATGTAGGCTTAACCTGGCGAGCCTTCTTGTTTGTGCTGCTTGGCGCGTTCTCATGCGATCGCTTCGCCATCCCAAGACAGGTTGTTTACACAAGTGACTGGTCTGAATGCAGTGTTAATCTCAACACGAGACTCGGAGTCCTGTGTCAAATTGACCAACCCTGGACGTGCACAACACTGAACACAGTGTTGTGACGGATAATCTGACCAATCACAGTTGAGTCGTTCAGTGTCAATATGTTCGGTGTTGTGCAGTGTTGGTTCCCCGAACAGGGCCTAAGTTGGTCAAAATGACCCGCAAATTCGACCAATCGAAAGGGTTCTACTGGGAAAGACAGAATGCAACGCCCACCTTGACTTCGATGTCGCATGAAATTCTGGATTCTGGTTGGCCAGAGAGCTTCAAAGTTCGGTGGTTATTTGAGCCTATCACAGTGCCTTTGACTAATTTTAATCACTTCAACATAAAATTGAATTACAAGTCGAATATAAATCCTGTGACCATAAAAATTCACCCAATGATGATATGGTATATAAATAATGAAGTATGATTGGATAATATTCGACATATACTGTATCACATAAATAAAATCTTCGGTGGGCGTTGCATTCTGTCTTTCCCAGTACTCGTGGGTTCTTTCAAGGTTTCCCACGCGCCAAACGGAATTCGCGCTCAAAAGTTACTCTCCGCATTCCGAATAAGTGAATAGGAAGGGTGGATATAAGTATAGGCTACTTGATTCACCTGGCAAAGGCTGACCAAAGGACAGTGCAAACTTGAGCCTTTCTTGGATGTTCGCGGGGGTGAGGTGAGGCTTGACGTAATTCGACCGGGCCTTGAACCGATGATTCTTCTTCATGTGGCGAAATATCCTCGCCTTGGGTATTCCGCAGGAGGCCGACATAGAGCGCAAGGTCTGACGGTGCACTTGTGGCACCTCGCGAATCGCAGCTTCGATTTCCTCACTTGTTCGCTTGACTTGACATCCTGTGTTTCCTACAAAAGTATACCCCCCATAAATTTATAACTGCATAAATCAATAGAAAAGTAATGTTTGAGAGTATTACCCTTGTTTTTTATGGTGACTTCGGCAGCATGGTCACGATCACGACGTGAGAGGATTGCTTGTCTCTACAGCCGTAATATCGTCCGGGAATGGCAGTGAAACTTCTGTGCAAGCTTGGTCATTGCCCCTCGTGGCAGTATACATCCCACCGCTACAGGGAACGACGGAATGGTGCGCCCATCGAATTTTACTGAAAGACAACTTCCATTTAAACCAATCAAATCATAGGAAAAATAGAGCAATACGATTGGCTAATAGAACTTTTCCCGGTGCGTGCTGAGATATTTAAATTCGCCACTAATTGTATTAATATACCTCAAAATATATATCCACAACGGTGAAATATTTATTGAATGGCATATTTATTATTGGTTGGAAAACCTCCCGAAGTCCGAAGTTCATCAACCAATCTTTATGCACATAGACTCCCAAGTTCGAAGTTTCGATAGGTGTACCATTCAGTCGTTCCCTGTACGCTTAACAGCATTTCGTACACGGTGCAGCGTTGAGAAAAGCTCAAGTGCTTGCGGACGTCCGAAGACTCCCGGTCACTGCTTGATGCGTCGACAGATCTCGGGGGTGATAGAGGGGGAATGCAGTGGTGGTAGGTGATCTCAGGTAGTGTTTTGGAGTCGATTAATTGTATAATGAAGTGCTGGCGTAGATTTTTCTGACAGAGAAGAATGCCCCCCAGTTTGCCGCGCGATATCTCAACAACCAAGATGGCTGGAAAGTATCGCAACCTACCCAATCAGAGCAGAGATCTTGCGCTTTCCTACATGCCAATCAGACACCCAAATGGGGTACAATTAGAAAAACGCCGTCAATCAAAAGTGGGACGTGACAAATTTTTTGGACAGAGTAATTGCTCCTACCATGTCACGAGGGACACAACTCTCGGAAGAGAAGAATACTGCACCTGAAGGTGATAGGATTGAAAATCGACGGCATCAAACGACACACAAGACACTCACGGTATTTTTAACGAGGTTCCTGAGAAATCCCAACGACTATGGGAAGAAGCGCAGGGAATAGTATCAAAGCTGTCGTCTTCCGACCAGCGGCAATTCTTCCGCCATGTGCCCACCGGCCAATTGAGCTCTTCGAAGTTCGCCCGCATGTTGGCGTTGCCTCTGACGTCACGACGTTTCCGAGCTCACCATCACTCCCACCCCAAAATGCGCTATGCGAAGCGCAAGGTCTCACCGCTGCTCAACGACGACCACATGGAAAAGCGCGTAAATTGGGCTGCTTCAAAGGTGTGGAATATGGCTGAGCAGCCCCAATGAATATTTTCGGATGAGAAGAATTCCACTTGATGGTCCTGACGACTGGTAATATTACTTTTCTGGCATGATTTGCGTAGAGAAATGGAGATTTGCTCCAGGCGTCTAGGCGGCGGTGGAGGTGTCATGATCTGGGGTTGGTTTTCGGCGCACTGCACGAAAGTTTGGCGTTTCTAGACAGCTGCCAGCGCTGTGACGCGTACACGGCGACGCAAGAGCTGCACATGATGCCTTCTATGGAAATGTGGTACCAAGCAAAATCCATACAACCAAGTGTACTTGTTGAGGACAGATATTCAGTTAAGCATTAATTTTTTGGACAAGGCTTCAGCGCGAAAAACACACGACATGCACTTGAAAAACGTACCGAAACTCGCAGCAGCAGCAACCGAGCTGTGAAAAAGTGTACGCTAGCGCGACATGCGAGGTGTTGAGTAGGAGAAGAATATTAAACACCACAAACTCATTAAACTATTCGTACAGCAAACACGGCAAACCCATAACGCCAGTTCCACGCCCATATTTCCACGATGACGAAAAGGGGCAAATTGTAGCCCTATTCGTCCTCAGCGCACACCTAGCGACGCAAGGTAACCAGTGTTGAGTTTGCGTAGTGCTCTATCTAGCCCACCAAATTGGAATGAAATCATCTGGTCAGATGAAAAGATGTTGAACGGGCCGTGTGGATGGCAGAAATAGGGTCGCGCCCTCGTATGAGCCGGACTCGTTCTGTCCCGTCGAAACGTTGGTGGAAAGTATGGTTTGGGCGGCACATGAGTCGCGTCCGAAGTTGCGTTCTTGCATTGCATCAAGAGGGCCCACCACTACGTTTTTTGGACCCTTCAAGACCACCTTATTCCATTCGCGCACTTCTATTATGATCTGGACTTTGTTTTCAGCAAGCCATTGCGTCCATTCACACGGCAAGGGAGACGAAATGGTCCATCGAGGAGGAATTTGTTGTCCTATATTGTTGTTCAATTCGGTTATCCCCGCTATCTCTCCTGACCTGAATCCCATAGAAAACCTTTGGGGCAATAATGCCCGCAAATTGTATGAGAATGGTAGGCAATATTCATCCGTCAGCCCGCTGAAAGTCCATTTTGTTCGCCTGGTCGCAAAATTCCACTTTCAACGCTCCATAGCCTGGTTGAAAGCATGCCAGGACGTTGCGAACCTGTGCTTCAAGCCAATGGTATCATGACTAAACACTAAAACTGATATTTTTGCAATATAAGCAAGAAATTGTCGCGTTTACTCGTATAGCGAATAAATTTTGCGCATTAGTTGGGACTGAATATAAAAATATCTCAATTGCATTGGTAGTTCTGGTCTTTTTGGCACAATTTGGCGACGCTTTGAGTTTCGAAAGGGAGCGGTGCGTCCTGGTACAAGAAAACCACTTGATACATAGGTATCAATGGACCGAAACTTTGTCCTGGCGTAACTATTGCGCGCATTGTAGAAAATATGATGACCACAATATCCGCACCCACTTTCAGTCATAGTGATATTGAGAACTTGAGAAAACCTCGCATGCGTTGTACACGAGTTTTGAAGTTTGTACGCATCAAGTGCACCCATGCTAAAATCAATGCATGTATGATCGTATCCAGGCAAATCTGACATGAGTCCACTGTATGGACATCACAAAGGCGAAAACATGCAGGTTTTAACCTTGACCAGAATGGGGATAGAGCCCTGTGCCAATGACCAGCACTCATATTAGCAAGAACCGACAGTTCGATGACGCCTTTGCATCGTTTGGCGGGGTGATTAATGTACGCTGGCGAAAAGTAAGCTGACAATAAACTCATTGTGCATGGGGGTTCAGGACTTGGTTGGGCCCAGCAGGATAGGGCGAAACCGTATTCATAATACACAATAAATCAAAAATACAATTGCATATACCAGTCCCACTTCACAAGCTATAAAACTTGGAGGAATTGACATGTCGAATAACTGCTTCACTGTATCGACATTGATGCATCCCGGGCCTTGATCGTTCATTCGATCAAATTTCATCTCTTATCGGTCGCAATGAAGACACGTGTCTCCAAGAGCCATAACGCATAGAGGAGCTGAACCTTTGCATAAATGCTTCACGGCCTTGAGCGGGCAAGGGTTACGGGTTCTAGGGGACACTTCTCAAGTCAATCCGAGAGCTCCAATTGCTGCACGTATATTTGGCCAATTAGAATGCGATTTGTATGTTGGTGGACCTTGAGATGAATTAAATTAACGTCGATGCGCATCTTTGCTTTCTTTATCCCGTGATGCGCTCTTCACATACCATCGCCGTTCGAACAATAGTACACTTTCGACGATGGTTCGAGCTGGAGTTTGAGTGTGGCCAAATCAAGAGAAGCATATTGATTGGTCGGTGAAAATGTAACTCAGGGGGCCTTGGCTCAAGTCGGCCACAGAACCAACGCCACTGGAGTTTGGAGAAAGAAATAGATTCGCTAATTATTCAGTGAATTTCGCGTGCGAACAAATGATGCCAAATGCCCCTAC